TAAATCTAATCAAAATTGCGCAAGTTACGCCTGTCGATCTTCTTTCGAAAAAAAGTTCATTTTTTTTGCACACCACTTGTATATCCATTCTTAGAAAGGATTCTTGGATTCTCTTCAAGTATTTTCCTAAATGGATCACGAATACGAGAGCACCACATTGCTGGTGTTTCGTGATCACGTCTTTTTGTTAAAGGCCATATTGCATCAACTATTCTTCTATATTCTTCATAGTTTACATCACTGTAGCTTACTCCAAATATCTTAGAATAGGCTCTTCCATCTAAATCCATATTATAAGCGTTTTGGTAGATTATAATGATTTTATTGATTTTATAGTGATTTTATAGATTTTAGCTGATTTAGCAATATTATACTCTAATAAATATCAGATTCATTTTTATTCGATTGTTCGGGTGAAATATTTTTTGATTCGGTTAAATTAGATCCGATCACCATAGACGGCTAAATTATAAACTTTGATGGTCGGCAAGGGGGCAGTTTAATTTATTCATACAGCATTTATAAGAAAAATTTGGACATGCAATAAATGGTAAACTTTATTAATAGATAGATATTGCTTGCTGGACATGCATGTCCAGGCGCAGTAATCTGTGGCGTAGTACACTAAACTATCCCCGAAGCACTTTAGCAATTACGTATTTAATATCGTCCTAGACAAAGCCGTTATAGTTGATAGTGAAAAGGTTTTAACTTTTCCTATCATAGCCCTACCCATATTTGCATCCACATTGATGCTGTCTTGTCTTTTCGCACATATGCTCAAAGCCAGAGAAAAAAAAGCCAAGACTTTGATCGTTACCAATGGTAACGGTTTCTGTCAAGAAAAATTAATATTTTAAAATTTTGTTTTAGATTTCATAGGTAAATACATTAATATCATCAATCAAAGTCTTAAAATAAGAAAAGTCCTATTAATTTTTTCGTTCATTAGTTTTAAAAGTTTTTCGTTTCTTAGCTTAGCTTTAGGAGTCACATGTTCTTTGACTCTTGATGACACCAACACGTTTTCTACAGAGTGTTTCTTCTTCTCGGAAGCTTCTTTCATCAAGATGAAGGTTTTTATGGTTTGCTTGAAAATATTCTGCACAAAAACAAATTTAAAAATAATAAATAAAATGCTAAAGGGAATTTGTCAGCTTACCTTAACATTCAACATCATTTGTGCTATTGCTACAATATTGCCCATTTCATCAAATTGAGTGGGTATGTCAAATTCTGCTAGCATGATAGATCCATGGTATTTACCACCAATGTATACATTTAACAAAACCCGAACAAAAAACCGTGACGAGATAAATCCGGGCAGAATCAGTTTCCGGAAAGCTTGAACGACTACAGCCCCACCACCTGCATTAGACAAGGTTTCCAATAACGTCTGATGCATGTCTCGCAGTGTTTTTTGCACCTTGAGTGTATTATCAAGAATTTTTCTTCCGTCTTCAATTTTGGACCCTGACCTTTCACAGAGTGAAAATTCTCGCCCCCAGGTAAGATCTTTTGCAAGTTCATGTTTCTATAAATAAGAATTGTTGGCAATCATTAAAGTTGTTTATTCATGATAATGGATTACAAACATACATACTGTAAAAAGCCAATCTAAGTGATAACCTTCTGCTTTGTCAGAAGCATCAATTGCTTGAGACCATGTGTGCCTAAATAAAGACCTCGAAACCTCAATTGCTTGAGTACGGCGTTGTCATGAAGCTCTGGAAACCATCACTCCACTAGTTAATAATATTGAAAAGGTTTATAATATATTGAAAGCACAATAAATTTCAATATATTAAACCATGATTTTGTAAAATTAACAATTTGAACTTACAAATGCAAATCCATAATGTCATCAAAACAAGAAAACATGTGGGACTTGAAAATCACATCAATATCCCGTTCCGAATTTTCCCGTTGCGGTATTTTTTTATCGATCATATCGTACCTAGTTTGCATGAGTATTCAGTTATTTCAAAATACTAGTTACATGTAATAATTCCGTATAGCGAAGAAGTTCAATGATGTAACAGACGTCTGGGTGTTTATAATCTCCACCTTGAACAATATTATCGGCAGTTGTGATTTCAGTAGGTGGGGAATCAAGGAAAGGGTTTTCATCTTCGACTTTGTTCGAAGTCGTCAAAATCTTTCGAATCTTCTTTATAGCACCACAAACACCATGATGCATTACGGTTTTAGCCACCTTCTTCAATCCTTTCTTATCCAACTGGAAGACAATCGTGAGCATATGAATCGAAAAAGTGCATAAAGGTATTTATCATAATTACCCACCGTTGCAATTGAGTGCAAGCATCTTTCAACTGGTGGCTCTAACACTTCCCAATCCGATGGAAGGTTAGACAGTAAACTCTCGCTTAAGTTTAAAAACTCTCGTTCTGTCAGTTAATTTCGGATCACATGTGTCTATTTATTATACGCCACCAAATGGCACTAACCATAGAAAGATTTCAGAATCATTCATATATTTTTCAATGGCAAACAATCATATAACTGTGAACTTACGTTTCTGCTATCTGGGAAAGTGATTCGAAGTCAGTTGTGTCAGTTGTGGTGGCAAGATCTTCGCGATGTTGATGAATCCGTTTTAGCCATGCAGGAATTGGCTCTTTAAATTCCCAGCTTTTCTCAAGATTATGCTCTTTCTATCAGTGCATTCAACAAAAAGGCCAAATACATATATATAGTGTGTCTCGAAAAAAATGGTGGTAGCAAAAAAAATTCTATTTCCACAATTACGGAACGTAATGAGATAAATTTAAATTTATTCGAAAGGTTAAAAGCTACTTTATCAAATAAAAAATTTTCAGTATCTAATTCTATCATCATTCTGCTGTAAAATCAGTTCACATCTTTTTTTCATCGAACAAATAATATTTTGTACTGTTCCTTGAGTAATTTACGGATTGGTCTTTGCCCATCTTTATGCCATCTACGGATTTTATTACGAAAAAGATCGAAGGCCGTTTCATCCGTAAACATTGTATGTTGCCAATCGTCATTCATGTGAGCTTGTGCCCATACCATTCTTGCTTCCATATGAGAAGCAGTCAACATTGGAGTTCCAAGGGGTACAGAACTTTTATAATCTTTTCTTCGCATGTGTCGCCAAACAGTATTATGTGAAATCGATGCAATAATATTATGTGTTTCTTGAAGTTTCACTGCAAGCTGACGAGTCGAAATGGCACTATTACGGCGAACAGCTTGTCCAATAGTAATAGAACGTGACAAGCTTTGAATAATTTTCGATGGACGTCCACTACCCTTTTTGCGTTCAATGGAGTTGCATTCTTTGAGCTTGCGAAGATTATTCTCAACTGTACGTAGAGAAATATTAGTTTGTTTGTGTATTTCTTTTGCTGAACGAATATTATTTTGCCAAAAGTGCAAAATAGTTTGTCGCTGAGTATCGAATTTAGAGTTATTAAGTTCCACAAAGTCAAACTTTTGGATTACTTCCGTATATAAACTGACAATAATGAAAAAAATTCTTGAAAAAAAAATAAGTGAACGAAGTAAAGCAAATTTGCTGATACAAACACACTCAATAGAAGGTTAATAACCATAAATAATTGTTTTTGTTTTGTAAACAAACGCGTTTTTTTATTTACGAGTCACGTAAAAGTTTTTTTACAAACCACCATTTTTTTTGAGACACTGTATATATATCAATGCAAAATACAAGAAGATTTCTGGAAATTTTCTTTTCTTCAATACAGAAGATCTAGTGTCTATAATTCCGGTATTGACAGTCCGTGAACGTTGGATAGTTCAAGTGAATTGATGGTTGGCCGACTTCAGTACGATTGTTCTCCCAATTTTGGACACGAATACGATCTGGTCGAGAACGCTAATGTAAATTTGATGAATTAGTAATGTTCTTAACCAATACATCTTGGATTTCCATCTAATTTTCTATCCCACCAAATTGACTCGAAGACTTAACATCAGACAAACTCGAAGATTGTCTGTGCCCTGGTGAGGTCAGTGTTAAGTCGACTCGAAGACTTGAACATCAAGCGAGCTCGAAGTTCGCCCGCGCCTCAACACTAACTTTGTGGCTCGACTCGAAGACTTGAATGATAGACAACTCGAAGATCTCTACCACACCACTTATTCTCTACATTCTTAATTATAAATATAATACTCGCCTTTTTGTATTTATCAAATAATTTCTGCGCTTTTTCTCCCTCTCTCGAAACCTTTCCTCGATACAATGATCTCCTCAAGAGACGAAAGGTAGCACTCTATCAATTGTTGCCTCGTTTCCAGATGGCATTCGTTTAGAAATCCGATTCTTCCGAAAAAATATTCATATACACAGTGAAACTCGATAAGTCGGACACGACTGGCTGGGCATGGCTGTCCGACTTATCGAGGAATCCGAGTTATCGAGAGGCCAATAGGATTCATTGTAACACAATTTCCTTTCATGTTATAAGATGTCTTCGGATAATTTACTTGAAACTTTGCTATTACTATTGCTTATTTAAATATCCATGCTAGTTTGCTAATAAAGAACGCTAGTTTGCTTTAACGAAGTAACTTGTTTTCTACTGATTTTCCATTTTAAATCTCTTAATCCTGAAACAAATTGAC